TAGTCTTGGGTTCAAATCTCAGTAGCACAAAAAATGCAAATAAATCAAACAAAAAACTGAAACATACACTCTGGTATTCAATGAATGACCATAATCTTCAAAGTTCATAGGAGGGTAAAGACCCTTGAACACAGGCTGCATAGGAACGAAAATGGTTATGCCTGGCCAGTCTGGATGTCAGAGGCCTCCAGAAGAAAACATGACAGCCAGTCCAGCGATTCTGCTTGTAGTAATGTGTCCTACTAGAATGAGCAAGCAAGTATAAAGAAAGATGATTTTCACTTGCAGAATTACCTGTGACGGCAAGCAAGGGAAACAACCAAGTGCTGAAGGTTTAACTACAGGATATGTGTGTACAATGGAATGTTTCAGTCATTAAAAATGATGATTCTGGGCTGGGAAGGTGGCTCAGTGGATAGAGTGCTTGCCTTGCATGCATGAGGCCCTGGATTAGATTCCTCAGCAACACATAAGCAAAAAAGCTGGAAGTGGCACTGTGGCTCAAGTGGTAGAGCGCTTGCCATGAGCTGAAGAGCTGAGGGACAGTACCCAGGCCCAGAGTTCAGGCCCCATGACCGACAAAAAAAAAAAGAATGATGATCTTAACCCTATTGTGTTGCCCGTGGGAAAGTACACTAATATAACCATTTTGGAAAGCAGTCCGGAGGCACTTCAGAAAGCTAAATATAGACCTCCCCTATGACCCAGCCATACCACTCCTAGGCATCTACCCTGAGCCACAGGGACAAAGATACAAGAACACATGCACCTCTATGTTCACAGTAGCCAAGATATGGAAACAATCCAGATGCTCTACTGCAGATGAATGGATCCAAAAATTGTGATACCTATATACAATGGAATATTATGCAGCCATTATAAAGAACAAAATAATGACATTCACAGGGAAACAGATAGAACTAGAGCAAATCATTCTGAGCAAGATAAGACAAGATCAAAGACACAAACAGCATCCAGTCTCCCTGATATATGGATGGTAAATCCAAAATGCAAGGAGATACGACAAAGTAAATAGGGCTAAAGAAACAAAGGAGGGTCTGGGAAGGTGGCTCAGTGGTAGAGCACTTGTCTTGCATGCATGAGGCTCTGGGTTCGATTCCTCAGCACCACATAAGCAAAAAGAAAAAAAGCTGGAAGTGGCGCTGTGGCTGAAGTGGTAGAGTGCTAGCCTTGAGCTGAAGAGCTGAGGGACAGCACCCAAGCCCAGAGTTCAGGCCCCACAACCGGACCCCCCTCCCCCCCAAAAAAAGAAAAAAGAAACAAAGGGCATCTAGTTAATTTGTCATACAATTTCTAAATGACTCCATGTTCTTGACCTAATAAATTATATATATATATATGCACATCTGAGGGAAGCTAGGAGGAGGGCACAGAATCAGAGGGAAATGGGAAAAAATACAACAGGGGCACATCAGCTGCACTGGACATGAAAATGAACTAAGTGACTCAAGGGCAGCAATGGGAGGGAAGGAAGGAGAGAAAAAGAGGGAACAGCTAACACAAAGTAAAAGAAGAGAAATATAGATATCACCCAACGCCGAAGAAATTGTACTGTTAAAGCTTGTAGAATTCATAAACTTTATAGGCCAAGATAATGACAATTTGCCTTGTGAAGGTTAAAATGTGTTTGTAATTTTAACTAAGTATCACTATCCTACAATACTGTGAAATTTATGTAATCATTTAATCTCAATAAAAATTATTATGAAGAAAAAAGATGATCCTAGTTGGGCACTGGTGGCTCATACCTTCAATCCTACCTACGCAGAAGGCTGAGATCTGAGGATCATGGTTTGGAGCCAGCCTGGGCTTTTAAAAAAGTCTGTGAGACTCTTATTTCCAATTAAACACCACAAAAGCCAGAAATGGAGCTGTGACTCAAGTGCCAGCATTGAGTGAGAAAGCTAAAAGAGTGCCAAGGCCCTGAGTTCAAGTCCTGGGACTGGCATCAAAAAGAAAAAGAAGAAAAAAAAAGATCTTCCCCACAACTGACATGTTACAAAAATAATTCAACTTAATGGTGGTTTTCAAAAGATTTAAAGTTTGTTCTTTATAGTGTTCTGTCTTGCCTACATATATTTATATATAAAAATAGAACCACCCTGCTTGGTATTAGTAGCCCAGGGATAATAGTACTGTGGGGGAAGAATGATGTCTCATTTCCTGGGGGACAATGTCACTAGTCTCTTTCTTCCCCACTCCATCTATCCTTCCCTCCTTTCTCTTTTCCTCTTTCTTTCGTGGTACTGGGGTTTAAACTCAGGGCTTTGTTGTAGGCACTCTACCCTTGACCCATCCTCCAGCCTGGCAATTTCTTTTGACCTAATGTGTTCTTTGTAATACTGCTGTCATTTATAAAATTACATTTTTCTGGATATGACCTAGTCCTGTTATATCAGTTTATATGATAAAATCCTGAAGCACATTGGCTGAAAATATGATGTAATGATCAGACTATAGTTGTGTAATAAGCATACACTAAAGGAACAATCGAGTGGCTAGTATCTTCTTATTCTAAATGCACTCAAATTAATTTCTTAGAGGATTTAGTTCAATGGTTCTCAGTGGGAGTCAGGGAGTAGATGGGTGGGGAATGATTTTTTTCCCCACAGGGGACATTTTGCATTTGACATCTGGAGACCATTTTGCTGTCACTCTAGGAGTACTCTTGGCATCTAGTGGGTAAAGGCCGAGGATGCTACTGAACAACCTGTATGCAAAGGACAGCCCCACAGCAAAGAATCATGGGGCACCAAATGTCAATGGGTTTACCCATGCTTAGGCTGAGCAACTCTGATCTAGAAAACATCCAGCAAAAATCTGCTGCTGAGCATCAGAGGAAGCAACTTTATAGAAGAAAGTGAACTTTGAGATACATTCATAAACAGCAGGTCACATTCATGGACCCTATTTTTATGATATTAGTTTTCTGAACTCCTACAGCAAATGCTGTGTGTGTGTGTGTGTGTGTGTGTGTGTGTGTGTGTGTGTGTGTGTGTGTGTGTGTGTGTGTTGGCAGTTTAAAGACTTGTTTTAAAAGTGTCACTCTGAAGCATACCGAAGATGTCAAAGATGTACATGATGGTTCCAAAGGTCTAGCCAGAGACACATGGCTTAGAACCCACTAAGAAACTCCAAGAGGGGCTGGGAAGATGGCTCAGTGATACAGTGCTTGCCTCGCATGCATGAAGTCCTGAGTTCAATTCCTCAGCACCATAGAAGCAGAAAAAGGCTGATGTGGCGCTGTGGTTCAAGTGGTAGAGCGCTAGTCTTGAGCTTAAGAGCTCAGGGACAGTACCTAGTGCCCAGTGCCCAGGCCGAGTTCAGGCCCCACAACCAACCAAAAAAAAAAAAAAAAAGACCAAAAAAAAAGAAGCCCCAAGAGAGTCCAGGCAATGACTATATTAGTTACTAATAAGCTTTCATATCACAACTTGAATGATATAATCTATCTATTACACACTTTCTTTTGTCTAGACAATCAGGAGTAGAGAATTAGTCTTAGTTGTGGCCATAATATTGGTACCAAGGTGTAGGAATACTTTTCTACGAAAAGATGAGTCACTACCCCAGGGCAAAACATTTCATTTATGGATATCCATAAATGACTACTGACATATAAATATTTATAGGCAATACTAACACAGAGCCAAGCTTTTTAAGTGAAAGACTAAATTTTAGGTTTGAAGCATGTGACAGAACCCTGCCTTCAAAAATATATTAATTATGTTAACTGTTATTCCTTAGGGAATTACAACTTGAAATGAGTAAACATATGTATTTGGGGGGCAGATGAGAAAATAAAGTTAATTTTCAAGCGCTGAACTGTGCATTATTTCTTTTTTGCTCAAGGCTAGTGTTCTATCACTTGAGCCACAGCTCAACTTCCAGCTTTTTGGTGGTTACCTAGTGATAAGTCTCATGGACTTCCCTGATGGGCTGGGTTTGAGCCATAAAACCCAGATCTCAGCCTCTCAAGTAGCTAGGATTACTGGTCTGAGCCACTAGCACCTGGCTTTAAACTTTGCCATTTTTTAGTAAATTTGTTTGCCTTAGTTTAAGCCAAAGTAAAAGTTTCTTTTAAGCAATAAAAGCTGCAATATGAAAACACTCATGGAACACAAGGCCTGCCTTAATAGAGTGAGCATAGGATACACTCTCAGTTGTCTGCTTAGTCCATACCAACCAAAATGGTTCCTCCAGTCTTCTGTGAGAGACTGCTAACTGGTTAAGGGAAAATGCTACTTTCATATTCTCCCAACCCAAATTTTAAGAGGGGAAAAAAAAGAGGAAAAGAAATTTCCCTTCTGTGAGGGGTGGGGGACTAGGATACACAAGTGTGAGCCTGTCAGACAGAACATAGAATCTAAGCTGCACGACAACATATGGAGAGAAAGACTGGACCCTATTCCTTGTAGGCACCTGCTCTGAAGCCAGCACAGCAGCCTGCTTGCTCAGGGACAGGTAGAAGCCCCCACAGAAAGGAATGTCCATGGCTGGCCCTCCAGTTACCTCAAAGGTAAGAAAACAGGCAGGTTTAAGAGGCATGTCTCAGCTTTACAGTGCTTCCTGCTGATGCCCATTGGCCCTAGCCTGGTTCCAGGTTTGAATAACTCACCTCCTGAGTTTCCAGCACCTTAATAGCTTTGCCACAATGGGTGACTCAGTTTCTCCTGAGCTGTTTAGTGGACAAACTGTTGCAGGCCCCCTCCTGTTAGACAGGATTCTGAAGTCCAGTCTCAACCAAGCCTGTGATCCTCAACAGGTCTTCCTTTGGGCTGCTGGGTTCTTAGCAGGATATCCAGAAGAAAAACTGAACCAGGCATGCAAGCCCCAAGGAAGGATGCTGGAAGCAACACTGAGCACAGCCCTCAGCTCACAGCAGCCTGCCCTGACAAGACATCTACATGCCTGGGCCAATGACAGTGGATCTCAAGCCCAGTGGGCACAGGCCCAGGTCTATTCCCAGCAGCACTCACCTTTAGGATGGGAACAGCTGCTCAACAGCGTGCGGTCTTGCTATTTTTGAGGAAGTGCGATTCATCCTGAAAGAACCAGCCATATGCATGAATGAGAAACAGTCTTGAGTTGCTGGAGAGCTCACCTTAAGCCTGACCTCAGCCAGGTCTAGGAAAGGACCCAGAGCTCAGAGCTTGTACAAGTCCCTTCACCTCTCTGAGGACAGTTTTCCACTTTACAATGAGGATAGTAAGCCCTCACCCCACCTCTCTCAGCAGCTCTCACATCTGCATGGCACAAGAGTCAAGAGTGCTAATAAGCCAGATGCTAGGGGTCATGCCTATAGTCCTAGCTACTCAGGAGGCTAAGATCTGAGGACTGAGGTCAAAGCCAGCTAGAACAGGAAAGTCTGTGATACTCTTACCTCCAATTAACCACCAGAAAGTGGCACTGTGGCGCGAAGTGGAAGAGTGCTATCCTTGAGTGATAAAGCTCAGGGATAGTACCCAGGCCCTAAATTCAAGCCCCATGACCAACACAAAGAGTGCTGAAAACCTACTGTGTGTCCTGTACTGGTACAAAGCTCTGGGTCCAGAGCCTGCCCTTTGTGCTCCAAATACAGCAAGGTCAGGTACGCTGACAACTGCCCAGATGATCAGTACTGTCACCATGGCAGTATGCACAAAGCACTGTGGGAAAATGAGAAAATGAGAAGAGGAACGAGAAGATGTTGTGATTTCTGTCCTCCAAGGTGTCTGACTACTATGTGGAGAACATGCAATTTGACTGTTTGCAGCTCTGTATTCTCTGTGTAAGCAAGCATAGAATTTTTCATATTTTCTAAACCCAGCTGAATAACTAATATGTTATTAGTGCCTGGGAAGTAACTTTTAGGTTGGCACATTCTGACTCCTTGCTACATGACTCTGAGTCACTAAGTGACCTTTCCATCGTGCCAACCTCTCCATCTGTAAAATGGTTATAATGCTAATCCCTAATATATCAGGTGCCTAAAAGTTTTAAGTAGACTAATACATGGCAGCCCTGAGAACAGTCTTGCCACTCAGTGAGCTCCCTTGGGACTAGAGTACCGGAGACAACCCATTTTTGTCCTTGAGGATCATCTCTAAGCCCTCCCCCAACCCCATTCCGTTCCATTTCAGCTTGGATGAACAAAAGGACTCGAAAGCACAGCAGAGAAGAGTGGAGATGTGTGTTGTGTCCTGTCCCCCAACTCCTCCCCACCCCCCACTATCAACAGCACATAGAGCCCAAAAGCCTGGGGTGCTACATTCATAGTCTGATTTTACAATGAAGCCTCATGGAAACCACAGAAGAGGCATTTAGAAAGAAAAATCACTAGAAGTACAAAGCATATGAAAGGCACTTTGGTCAATGGGTAAAAACGCAGCATCATTGGGCCAAATCACAAGCCATGGCTTGAAGTTGAAGCCTCTTCTAAGGGTGTCACACAGAGCTGTGACTTCATCGCTTCCTATGAGGAATCTCTGAAACCACAAGAGGACATCACTGAAGAACAGAAGGAATGTAATGCAATAATCATCAACAATGCCCCTGGGAAGTGTTTGCCTTTATTCTGGGAGCTAGCTATATACTCCTCCACTGATGAAACTTGACAGTGAGAATTTTTTGCCAATCAACAAGTAACATGGTCTCCTATGCTGTCACTCTCATGAATTTACAGATGCCAGTGTGTGTGTGTGTGTGTGTGTGTGTGTGTGTGTTGACTTGTGTTTGTGATCAGATATTTCTTTTTTTATTGTGAAAATACTGTACACAGGGGTTACAATTACAAGAGCAAGATAATGAGTATATTTCTGTTCAAGCATTGTAGCCTCCTCCTTTGTTTCCACTTCCCATCCCTTCACATCCTCCCCCACCCCCCCCACCCAATCTGCCCCTCACCCAGTCCTCCCCCCACCCCGCACCAAAGTTGTAAAGTTCGTTTTCTACATAAACTTGTACATCTCGTTGTTGCAATGGGTCCACTTGTATCCCTATTGTTTTTCCTATTCCCCGCCACAAATTATACCGACATCAAATACAGTGAAAGCAGGGGTTATACTGTGAGGGAGGGACACACAAAGCAACAAAGAAATAATTTTATAAATGTGTTAGAAACAATCATAAGAAAGAAAAAAACATTTGAATACATATCTTAGGGTTCATTTCACTAAAATCACCTTATCTGACCTTTTCTGCTTGACTCAGACATTGCAAATAAGGGAAACTATGGGACCTATGTTTCTTTGGTCCTGACTTACTTCACTTAATATAATTTTTTCCAAGTCTTTCCATTTCTTAAGGAATCCGGGTAATGTCATTCTTTCTGATGGAGGCATAGAATTCCATTGTGTATATGTACCACATTCTCTTGATGCATTCATCTACCGAAGAGCATCTGGGTTGGTTCCATATCTTAGGTATAGTAAATAGTGCGGCAATAAACATAGTCGTGCTGGTAGCTTTAGTGTGGTCTTGTTTGTAAACATTTGGGTAAATTCCTAAAATTGGGATTGCTGGGCTATAGGGGAGTTCTATGTGGAGTCTTTTGAGGAACCTCCACACTAATTTACAAAGTGGATGAACAAGTTTAGACTCTCAGCAACAATGCAGTAAGGTACCCTTCTGTCCACATCCCCTCCAGCATATATTGTTATTAGAGTTCTTGATTATAGCCATTCTAACTGGGGTGAGGTGATATCTCAATGCTGTTTTGATTTGCATTTCATTTATGGCTAGGGAGGTTGAGTATTTCTTCATGTGTCTATTGACCATCTTTCTTTCCTCTTCAGAGAAGTTTCTCTTTAAGTCTTTAGCCCCTTATTTATTGGGCAGTTGTTTCTTTGAAGATTTGTTGTTGAGGGATTTAATTTTTTGAGTTCCAAGTATACTTTAGATATGAGACCCTTATCCGCTGTATGACTAGAGAAGATCTTCTACCAATCAGTAGGCTTTCTATTGATCGTGCGAGCTATGTCCTTTGCCATGCAGAAACTCTGCAACTTCATGTAATCCCATTTATCCAGCCTTTCTTTGATTTGTTGTGTTTCTGGGTCTCTATTAAGAAAAGTTCGGCCTATGCCAAGGAGACCTAGGGTTTCTCCTATTCCATCCTGTAAGGTTTTCAGAGTGTCTGCTTTGACTCCGACGTCTTTGATCCATTTGGAATTGATTCTGGTAGAGGGTGATATATGAGGTGATCAGATATTTCTGTTAGCTGTCCATTTGTCGATTTACATTTTATTTTTGTGAGTCTACAAATTGAAATGATGTACATTTTTTCCTACACTGTTTCAAGAACCATAATTGGATACTGGGCACATTACCATGTTTTTTGGAATTGAAAAGTGAGAATACTTTTCCTGCCTTCAATTCTTGATTTTACTCAATCATGATAAAAGTTAATCTCAGGTTTTCATGGATTTTTTATGTGTCTTCTTTGATAATGAGTATTGAATCCCTGATTGGTCCATTGATATTCAAGCCTCTTACCCTGGGCTCGATCCAAGTGATATATTCCAAATGTTGGTATGTCTCTGGCATTGAATTCCCATAACCATACATATTTGAGAAAGGAGTGTTAATGTAGGAATGTTACACTAAGTTAATGGAAATTTTCTATGTTCAATTCAAAGTTCAATATTTCAGTGTTCCTACTGAGAGATGACATGCATATATGTCTTAAAGATTAATTATTTTTCAGAACTTCTGAATATATTTACTTGATACCACTTCACAATGTAATTGTGACTTCAAAATAGCATTTGTTTTGTCCACACATAAGAATGGAAAAACCGTTTATTTGTTTGAGCCATGGAATAATATTTCTTGTGATTGTACCTGAAAGTATTTGATGGTATCCCTTCATATTTTATTTGCCTACCATAAAGTATGTATCCTTTGGTAGGATCCCATAAAACAATCACACTTTGTGGTTTGTTTTTATGCATCTATTCACAAATATTGAAATGTAGTATTGATTTAAGTTCATTACAATAACATTATATAGTAAAACCACTATGGATTTTCTTTTCTGTACAACCACGTTAAGTATTTCTTCCTATTTTTCTGGATGCATGATAAATCCAAATATATATTACAAGAGACCACGTTCAAAAAATGTGCCAAGACATGGCTGACCTTAATGCGTTACATTAGAGTAAATTTTGAAGAACTGAAAAATAATCGCTGAAGTAATAGATTGGCTAGGGTCACACTTCAAATGTTCAGTGAAGTTTGAATGTGTTGAGGCAGAGAGTGTCCAAGTGTAATTAGTGAGGTCTATATACAACGATCAAATTTCAACAGAAATGGAAGTGGAAGTAAGCATGATTTAAAAAAATAAAATAACTGATGATGTGTTCTCATTAGTTTTTGAATATCTCTGGAACTGCTAGTGAAGTTCTTGTTCATATTCAGAATATAGAAATACATATTCTAGTGTTTTCCACAGAAAGTAAAATAATATTTTTTCTATTTCTTTGTAGAAATCATTCTATGATCAGACCATGAGTTCAAACCATTTCTAATTGTTTCATCTACATCTTACATTTATTAATATATTGTTCATGTTCACTCAACCAAATGAATTCATTTTTATTTCTATTATTTTTTAATCCCTATTCACCCTTACATTGAATTCAGTAGCAAAGCCAGGTGTTTATGTCCTTATTGGAATTTACTATGTCACTATCCACATAGACATATTAAGGTTGGAATATAGAAACTTCAATAATCAAATTGAAATCTAAATTTGTTTCCCAGCAGAGAACAAATCATACTTCCTTATTCACTGTCCTTAAGTTTGCCTGTGAATATTATGTTCCATTTCATATATTGATATAATTGTAGAGCATAATAAATACATAACAAAACTGTAACAATATTAGACCTCTCATACAAATTTACACCAATTATGTATTCCCATATAGAATGGCCATTAAAATTTCAAAGGGATTTTTCAACCAACATTCTGAAATATAGTTCTTACTATACAAGGTTCTCATCCATCTCAATGATTTCCACGTGCAATCCCATCTAAACAAGGATTCTGGGAGTTCTTCCCAAAATATGTGGCAGAAAACACTAGGTTAATGTATGTGTACACAAAATAACATTCAAAACTTATTCTTTTGAGGGGCTAAACTGCAATTTGTGAAGATAGCATGTTGTGTGCTAAAAAAGTGATAATTTTAGGGCAAGAGGATATGCATTATTTGGCATTCTATAATGTTCCAAGAAAGAGTGGACTGTATAGAGTATAAAAAACACACTTTTATGGAACCATATCAATGACTATCTTCATATTCAATTTGTGTGTAATTGGCCCATGTACATATGTCCCCACATATTTGTAGTTGATTTGGCACTGTGGTCCAAAATATTCCTGATGCAAAAATGGAATAATTTTTGAAGCATATTTTAGGAAGATCCAACTTATAAAAATTGTTGGTAGGACTCCTGTGCAATAAATGGAGTTGAATCTTTTGGGTATAAATGAGGAAGTTAAAGATGTGAGAATGTGCCTCATATTTATTATTGGTGTTGAAATGGAAGAGTTTCTGATTATGGGCTTCTTTGTGCACCTAGTGAATAATTGCAATTTTTTTTTGGTTATCCTTCAGAAATTGTGAGCAGGAATTAATTCAACATTAATTTGTGAAGGATAGTTTGGAACCAGTAGACTCAGGGAAACCTGAGCCTTTTCTAGTAGGGATATGAAGAGAACAGATCTATCAACACACGTCTGTGTATAGACTGAAAACCAATCGACATACGAATCCATATGTAAACTTATGAAAATTAAAATAAATATATGTATCAATACTATTCTTTTCTTTAAACCTATTGTCAGTGTGATGTACAGAGTGATTATAATTATGTATGTAAGGAAGTGAATCGTTTATTTTTCACATGTTACCTTATCCCTCATTTTCCTTACACTTTATTCTGCTTCAAATCTCCCTCGTCCCTTGCCCCTGCTGTAAAAGCCATTTCCAACATGTTGTCTTGTGAGGAATTTTGTGGCATTAGTTCACCCGTTGTCCTCTATCTCTAAATTATTTGATTCCTTTTCTTTTCTCTTTTCGAATTAAAGTTTATACAGTCCAAATATAGTTACAAG